TCTGGACCAGATGCGTTCCTCTAGTTCTTCCTACCAATAAGACCAAGTTGCGAAAACAAGGTCAAACAACCACACTATCTTGATCTTCATACCTCCGAAAAATAATATTGTCTAATTAACGAACGAAAATATTAAGAACAATTTCTGACACGTAAAAAAGGAATTGAAAAGAAGCGTTCGGAAAGTTCAGATCAATCATATTTAATCTCTGAAGGCGTGAAGCTCACTAAAACAGCCAGGGTGAGAGCTTGGGTGGGCTCATCGGTGAGCACATCTGGGTCCAAAAGGAAGTTGTTTTGACTGGAATGATCCTCTTCATTAGCTCTATAATCACCTCCTAGGTCTGCATGTAAGGCCATGATATTGTTCTCACCAGTTGGGTCGGATGTAGACCTAATAGCTAGGTCATCAGCAGCTGGCTTGCTGCGGCCAATGCCGACCCTTATACTGCTGCTAATGGCATGAACGGGGAAGCGCAAACCGCAACTACTTGAGCCTGGATAGGGAAAAAAGAGGAAGGACGTGTTTTGTAACAAGTAAGGTGGAGTAAGATCAATTATGGAGAAAGTATGAAAAATAGGATTGTTGTGGATTTTTTTTATGGTCAACTGCATTAAGATATACATTTCTAGCACGAAAATGAGGGATGGTAAAAAGCAGAAGTGATTGAAGGAATTTATTTAGAAGCACCTCCAGCGAGACTCAAGCGCAGGTAGAGCGTTAACACCACGCTACATTGCTACGGGTGCCCCCGATTAACAGGGCGGACGCAAATTCCAAGGAAGGCCAGGCCTCTTCCATATTACATTTATAAAATAAATGTCAATGGTGGGAAACCTGTTTTGCGACTACAATTGATTACACTACTAATATTCATACAGAGTTGGCTTCAAAACTAGCAATAAATATTAACTAAGAGTGTCAGTTTTGAAACCTACTTTATATGAATATAAGTAATAGGTAAAACACAAGTTCTTCGTTTTATAAGTAAGTTTTCGAAACGCAACTTTGCCTTATTGACGTTCCCATTAGAAATGCGATATAGGAAGGGCCTGGCCTTCTTTTAAATTCACATCTGCCCTGCGGCAAAGTAGCATGGTGTTAGACTGTCGATATTGTACGCTGCAGTACTCAGGTTATATTCCCGCTGGGGCGCAAATAAGGCCTAGGCGAAGTCAAAACTGCGGTCCAGCCTGGATAAGAATACCTTTTGAGAAGGAAAGCTAAGTGAAATTCAATGGAAACGTGAGACCGACACTGTGCGAAAATTCATCTAACAGTTTTTCATTATCTCATCCAACTTAGGGTGATAGATCTCTTATTCAAGATTCAAGTTTCGAAACCTACTCTATAAGAATATGAAAAATATGTTCACGAGAAGGTTAGCACGACAATCGCCAGAGTGAAACAGATTTTGACTATAAGCCTTCCAATTTTAAAAGAAAATAATTAAATAAGTGAGAAAAGCAAATCAGCATGGAACATAGGGGTCGATTACCACCTTACATTGAATTGGAAGCTAATCCGTCAATTTATGTATACAGACAATGGATTTATATAGTTTACAAAGAAAAGGAAAATTTAAAAT